TAAATTTGCAAAAATATCCAGAACTTAACCAAAAATTTGGAAAAATAGACGCACGAATATGAAAATTTATAATTGAATAATAAAATTAAAAAATGCAATTTTTTCACATCAATCGGATGCAGGGCTTCCCAGAAATTGACAGAATAATCGAAAAATGGTGGGAGAGAGGAATAGATTTTGAAATGATAAAATTTTTAAGAGTGGAATAAAAGAGTGGGTGGGCGTGTGGCTGCAAGCCGTGGGCAATGGAGACGAGATATCTTCTGAATGTAAGCTGACTCATCCCACATTATCCGTGGAAAGAAAACGGGTCTTGAGTTTTAGCACAGCCTCTCTCTCACGTAAAGTAGGCTGGACTAATCGAGCGCCTTTCACTCACTGTTGATGCCCCCAGAGAGTACAGTCGATTACCTCAGCCAGACTCAGAATTAACGATACCCCATGATGATTTACAATGACCCTCTTAAATTCAATGAAAAAATGGGCCTTTCCAATGGGAGCGAGTGCTCATACCAGTAGATAAATCATCGAACTCATTTCACTCCATAACAACATTCAGTCATTTGCGCTTGTCTACGTAAATACGAAAACAGATGATTCAACTCAACTCAGAATATCTACGAAACTCTGAGAGATCGGCAACTTTTAGTGGAGATGTTATTTCCGAAGTGCAATCGCCCTTGGTGAACATTTGTCCTAAAAATTTCGTTATCTAGCTTCCATTCGGGCATACAATAAAATTGTATGCAAATTTAAGGATTGCAATAAGTTTTGAAAGAATTACCGTTGGGAGTCTTTGTAATTTGAATTCCATGCTATAAAAAAAAAATTTTTTATGGATATTCAGCGGTAATAAAAAAATAGACTGTTGTCTTCGAAGTGAATTAACAAAATGGAAAAACTTTTATTTTGGTTATATATGGGTGTAACACACCCTTAACACATACTGTTACCGAAATGGGGATAAATTTCTAACAGTGTACGGTCTCAATTGAAATGAAAAATAGTGGAGTCGTCTGGTGTTGAGTAAGTCCTCCTGGAGTTGGAGTGGACACTCGTGTGACACCAAACGGTGCAAGTGTCCTAGAGAATACCTGTTACCCCATTGCTGTCTGTCTAGTCTTGGTGAAGTAAGCCACGTCGACAGCCATTTCTCATCGATAATTAGAGGTTCCGAGGATCGATGGAGACTTCTGTGCTGGGGTCACTGATCCCAGAGAGCCCTGGGGCATCAGTCTGTCCTCCAGTTCTCCAGTCCCATCATCCCCACTCTTGAGAGACAGGAAGCCGCAGGGTTATCTAATTGTCTGGCTAATTAATCCAGTGGATGGACCCAACTGTTGGAGTACTCTGGCGGTGAAAACAATGAGCTGCTCATTGATTTCGCAAATGGAGTGCAGCCCAGTTTTTACGCTACGATAATCACGGCTTATCTAGGCCATGTATGTGTCTTTCAATATACTTGTTATATAAACATTCTGTTTATACCCGCGGGGTATACATCTGTTTTTCGATGTCAAGTGTAAACATTCATCAGGTTTACGATTTCAAACAGCATCGGTCAATTTTTTTATTAATCGTATCAAGTTTACAATTGGAAATTAATTCAGAGTCCTTTTTTTGAGGGAGATTTTGATAGTTTTTGATACTACTTTTAAGGGCACTCCTTTAATTCAGGTGCATCTGAGTTATGACATCTTTTCAATTTTTCAAGTTTTTTACAAATTTTGGAGAAATCATCAGTAAAATTGAAAAAACGTAATGAAGAGTTTTTGGAAATTAAAGTTGGAAGAATATGGTTTTTTTAAGTTTAGCTATTATTCCCTGTATTATGAATTTTTATCACGTTGGAAGAAGTTTCATAGGTTTTAAACTTTTGTAATAATCTTCAAAATTTTACCAAAAAATGGAGACACGATTATTAAAATTTGGGATTGGATAATGATAAAACAAAGACTGTTAAATACTTCCCAAGGAGTAAAAAATTTGCATTCTAATGAAATAAACCACAAAATTGGAAAACTTTCCAGAAAGGAATAAACACGAAACATTCCGACGTCCTCAACGTCCAATGTATCCAAACCCGTAAATCCCTTGATAAGCATAACTTCGATGTTAGTAAACATTTCCCCACAGAACAATCAATTCTCCTGTTTGTGATGACTCGACGTCTGGATATAAAAACTGTAGAATCCCCGAAAGTGCAGAGCTAAGGGATTCGTTTGGGGTCAGCTGAACAGCAGAAAATCGGCGGTGATGAAACAAAACCCAGGGTTTCTCTCCGAAAATCCATCTTTGACCCACCAAAAAGCATTCCCTATTCCTTCCCCTCGGCAATTAAATTTCATTAACCGTGTGATTTTCAAAATAAATATTCTTAGAAATGTTCTTAAAAATTTCAGAAAAACCGCAGAAAAATGCAAGAAACCGCAAAAAATCACTTTGAAACTTCTAACGTCATTAAGCAAAATTCAAAAACTATAAAAATAAATATTTTTTCACGTTAATCCCATCGTAAATTTTCAAAAAAAAAAATACGGATTTCGGTGGAAAGGATGTAGAACATCCTGAACACTAGATTCATCAGAATCAGTGGGAAGAACTGACGACGACTCCAAAGATAAAAAAATATCGAAAAAAGGCAACAACAAAAGGTTCAAACCATCGATTTGAGGAATTCCTAGACACGACCTGAAGATTGCTGTGGGATTTCTCTGAGCAGTCCTGATTAATGGTCACGTGTATCATCTTTCTAAAAATAACACATTTTGAACAGCCAGAGAGAGGACTAGACACTGATTGCCGGTATTCATCTTGTGGATGGTTGAGAGCTACACGAGAATAACACCAAAAGCTGAGGCATGAGGACACGAAAATAACCCCACCTCCACTGACTCCTGAAGAGAAAAAAAAAGCATTTTTGCATTATTCACTGAGCAAATTGAACGAAAGTTCCCCTCTGATTCAGCCGACGAGCCCAGGGATATTCACAGGGAAATATATTCCCCCGAAAAAATATTATTCAGCCGTTAGCACAACCCTTGAAGTCCTCGTTCAAGTGTTTTCCCTTTGTTTCAGCGAAGTATTAAGCGCTGTTGGTTTTTTATCCCTCGTGCCAATGGCAGACGAGCGCCGGAGGTCCTCATAGGAATTGAAAAAAAAAATAAATAAGAGGAAAGAGCGAAAATTTCAAGGGTTGCGAGGGTCTCAGGGGTTGGTAAAATTCGAGGGGCTCTCTCTCTCGAATGGAAGTTACTCCCAGGATCCATTGTCCATGGACTAGTGGTGGGGATTGGAATTGATTGTGTAGTGGTGACACGTGCTAGGTAGAGCCCATGGTTTCTATTGATCCACTCTAGTTGCCATGCAGGTGTTTCTGACCTCAAATTCCATCCCAGACCCATCGACACACTGACCAATCCCCGAATTTTTATCTACAAAACATTCACTCATTGTCTACCAGGACTCATTAAGCTGATGACATTCACCTGGTGTAGGAGCCATAAAATTACGTGATATCTATCAAATGGGGGTTGGCAATTTCATTGTCTCGATTTCATTGGCTCGTGAATCACTTCCGTTTTATCTGTCCCGGTGGATTGAAAAATCGAAAAAAATTGACACGAAGGCTGGAACGATTGGAGACCTAGGCGTGGCATCCTCTTGTCGCGTAACCGTTTGGTTATTATTAGCGCGACGAGGCGACGGATAAAATGCCCTATTTACGTATTAAAAGTGAGGAGTATGAACCCTGAGTGCACGCCACGATAAAACTTCTCCGGGGGATTTATTGTTAATTGTTGTGGGAGAGCTCTTGTGTTCTTGTTGGTCGAGGTGATTTTCACGGGGAAAATTATTATCGATTATAAAATATTAAATTGCTTAGTATTACCCTCTCGTTCATTACCGATTAATTACCGATTAGATGAAGATAATCTAGCCGGTGTAATCACGATCTCCAAAATATGCCTTCATCGATTCTAGGTCAACCTAGATGAATTACCATCGAGTCCATGTGTGAACTTGGAGACATTTTTTCATCGTACTCATTCCAATGAATTACCCGTCTATCTGACGTCACCCCCTTTATTCGAGTCTCAAAAGGTCATTCACGTCGGGAGTCACTGGAATGGTGAAGCATCACCAGAGATTAGATGCAGTTGAAGACCTCCATTGAGTCATTAAATGATAATTCTGTGATAACCGATTTTCATGCTCCATCAACGATAAAGACTTTCTCAAAGCAGCTGCACTGATAATCACCGATTCATGGTTTCACCATCAAGATGAGACTCGTCAGTCTCGATAATTTCATCATTCATTTTTCCCGGGACTTTAACACGTACTAAAATCGCTCGGACTCATTAGCATTCGGTAAGACTGTCTCCAGTGTAAATTCAAGTACAGTGCGCACTTTCAGTGATGTAACATTTCTACAGTATCGTGCTAGATGCCTCTCCTTATCAGTCACTAGTCTCAAAACGGCTTTCGTAACGTGAAAAAACCAGTGGAGTCACTCTTAAATAACGATTCCGCCTAATTTACATAATTAAACGAGACTTAAACAGCAGTTCTCCAAATAATCGCCATTCCAATCACTAATTCACCCATCACACCTCTCCCATGTCTCCATTAAAGAATAATCAAAACAACCTGGGAGACAGCGTCATCAAATTCGCAATAATCGATTCGCAAAATGCAGTAATTAACGCGTGAAATTACGGGCATTGCGCAATGCTGCGGTTGATGTTCTATATAAATTCTCTAAATCAATTGTTGTTGAAGTATCTTGGCGATTATGTGGCCTTGGAAATGGGTGAAGAGGTCAGAGGGAAATATGAAAAAAATGAAATAAGAATATGAAGAATTTACTTTGAATTTATACAATACAATTTAATATACAATTAAATTGCTGAATTAATTATCCACCTATTCTACCATGTTCTTCCTTTTTACGATTGCCTATTCCTCATGTTTTGGTTGTTTGTCTTTATTTTCAGTCGCAGATAACTGGGGGAGACCCGAGGATGGCGGACACAAGTCAGCAGGAGCTCACAGAGCCTCACACAAACGGCGTGATGGACGGCCTGACGGAAGAGGAAAAAAGCAAGATGAGACCGGCCGATATTGAAGCTGTGGGTATCCTAGACACTTCAGCAGACTGCTGTCTTATTATTATGCGGATTTATTCATTCCTCGTTATTGTGTCTCTTTAGGACGTGAGGGAGATGGAGAGGAGGCGAAGGGTCGCGATGATGATGGACTCGAAATTATTCAGGGAAGAATTGGAACGCATCATCGAAACCCAGATGAGCAATGGCTCAGGTCCATCTGGCCTCTTGCAACAGATTTCAGACATGATGGGAGCTCAGGGCAGTCGATTCAACTCAAATGTGTTCAAAAACTCCAACTGCGTCATGCCAATTAATGATATTCGAGGTAAATTAATGTGGGCATTTTTTTATTTATGGAATCCTCCCACGGACAGTCAATTGAATTTAAATTCCACTCAATCGAATCCCATAGTAAAAATTTAATTAACTCAAAGAGTCAAGATAAATTATGCAATAGATGGATAAATTGTTATTTCAATAGTAAACTGCAATTTCATTATTTTAGTGACCGATAGAATGGATTCGTTTGTTTTTTACATATTAATTTTCACTGTACGTTTGAATTGTTCCTGATGAATAATTTCTGACTCTTCCTAAAGGTGTAGAAAGCATGGGATATGCTAAAGGCGAGAAACTCCTGCGTTGCAAGCTAGCAGCTGTGTTCAGACTCCTGGATCTTTACGGCTGGACCCAGGGTGTCGGTGGTCAGATAACAGCCCGCCTAAATCAAGACCAGCAGCATTACCTAGTGAATCCTTACGGTCTCCTTTACCACGAGGTAACAGCCTCGAGTCTGGTAAAGGTTGACATGCAGGGCCAAATTGTTGAGCAGGGAACGACGAATTTTGGTGTTCACATCGGTGGTTTTCAGCTTCACTCGACGATACACGCTGCCAGGCCAGACATCAAGTGCATCATCCACATAACAACACCATCTGTCACAGCAGTGTCTTCCTTAAAGGGTGGAATCCTGCCAATTGGCCAGGAGAGCATTGTCATTGGTGAGGTGTCAACACATCAGTGGATTGGAGAGGCCGTTGAGCCAGAGGAGAAAGAGAAAATAACCAGAAATCTTGGCCCCATCAATAAAGTCATGTTACTGACGAATAGAGGTGCACTCTGCTGTGGGGAGACCATTGAGGAGGCTTTCTACAATGTTTACAATACTGTGCTTGCCTGCGAAACTCAGCTGAAGCTCATGCCTGCTGGCCTCGAGAATATTGCACTAATCTCTGAAGAAGCCAAGAAGGCCATTTTCGAGGCATCCAGGAGACAACCTGTACCCCATCACAGTACCATCACTGAGCCACCTGCATTGGCTGAAAAACTCGAGAAACGCTGGAGAATTGGTAGCACTGAGTTCGAAGCACTCATGAGAATGCTTGATAATGCTGGCTTTCGTACTGGCTACATTTACAGACATCCACTTATTAAGAGTGAACCTCCTAGACCGAGAAATGATGTTGAGGTGCCACCTGCTGTATCTTCCCTCGGGTATTTGTTAGAGGAGGAGGAGAATTACAGACAGGGGTTAGTTATCTATTATTTGGAGTACTATTTGACAATTTGTCTTGAAATTTATAGCAAATTATAAAGAGTTGTTTAGATCAATTGACATTTAATGTACATAAAATTGGAGTTATCTTTATTTAATTATCGAATTAAATTTTATGTATTTGCATGTTCGCAGGCTTTGGAAGGGTGGACGCAAAGGATTAGACAGAACGCACTGGTTAAATTCACCGAATGTCTACCAGAAGGTGGAGATCCTCGAGACTGGAACACCAGATCCCAAGAAAATCACGAAGGTAGAAGTCATTACTTTTGAGAATAAAAAAGAATAAATAAAAGTCGAAAATATCCCGAGGGAATTAGTCAGTGCTAGGGATGCGAACCATTAGGATTTCTCGGTATTATTTGCACGTCAATTCACGCAGTAATTCGCAATGCATTCTATCCCCAGAGTGCAGTGACAACAGTTGTTTCATGAGTTCAAAGTAGACCACGAATCACTAGTCAATCGCCTCCTTGAAATCAACGATTAGAAAGTACACAATTTTGAAATAATAGATTTATTCCTTTTTACCTAGAAACATCGAACGAAAAAAAAACAGGTTGGAGGCTGTCGCGTTTATTTCAACAGATAATCCCTTAATTGTTCACTGTCAGGGGATTTGAATTTTAATTAGGAAAAACAATTGCGTTAAAATATCGATAATTACCCTCAAGGGGTGGGGGATACTGCAAGAAAGAAAGATAGAAAAAAAGTCGATCATTCATCTCATTTGAAATAAATAAACCTATAAAGGTACAATAGACAGAAATATTGATGAAGATAATTAAGAAAAAATTTTATAAAAAGCATAAATGTTTCTATGTGTTACGCTTTACATAATAATCTATTGGAAATGTCTACGTGTTTTAACTAATGAGATTATCTGCGCAATTATATATGACAGCTGGATGTTTGAATCGGTCTCCAAGCTTGCGACATTAATTAAAAATACTATATTGAGATAGATTTATGCGGTGGGGAGTATCAGAGTGAAATGTTACACTTTTCAACGAAATTATCATCAAATTGATCATTTTACATTCCAAGTTTAATTGCGAGCAGAAGAAAAATCAATTTTATTTTTAATTTTTTTTTTGACATTCCATTTATTAGGAATTTTATCATCATTCGAAGGTGCAATAAATTTTCTCATATTGTGAGCGTTTTACACTCATGCCATTGATTCCTCTCAAGTGCCAGAATTAATTAAACAATCAGGTGAATTAACTGATGAGATATTATCCATCACGTATTTTAATGTATTTAGGGGACATTTCATTCTCTTCGTTTTATTCAGCTTTCGTCGCTTCCATGAGATATAAAACGTGTAGCATTGTTAAAACTTTAAGAAGGTATCACTGTTTTTTTTTCCCTGTAGCTTGTTTCGATGTTAAAATAAAGATGATAAAAATTGCTGATTAAAACAAAGATCACTCGGAGTTTTGTTTTATTTGTAGTGGTTAAAATAGGGCATGCTACGTGTGAATGTTGAACAAATGGTGAATTTTTCGGTGACTCGTGGAGATCAATTCAGCCGTATCATTTTTTTCGGTTTTTCATTTTTAAGTTTAATTTTCAGGTTTTGTGGTGATTTTTTAATCTAATGTCATGTTTTTGTTGGATTTTTTTTTTTATTTATAGTGGGTGGAACAGAATGCAGAGGAGGTAAATGGGAATCCCACAGTTACTAGGACTATAAGACTGAGTCGAATTTAATTTATCTATTTCTGCTAGATTATCAGTACTTATCAGTACTTTGGTGCGCATGGGGCATATCACCAGTGTCAATCTCAATTCTATTTTCACCTGTTCATTGGTTATTGTACTGTCATTTGGGTCTGGAATACCTCACATTTTATCGACAATGCCCATCACTTTATTTAATATTTCCCCATGATTTTATTTTTCATTAATCTTTAGTTAGTTATCAATCGGGTTGATGCCATTTCAGTTCTATGATGTTGATGGTATTGACTTTCACGTAGAGAATTGATAAACCATTTCACAATGACTCTGAATGAATGTGTGCCTGTTGGACATGTTGTTTTATTCTGGGTGGCCTTGGTATGCATCCACTGTACAGACAAAACCAGATGTCGACCCTGAAAATTCAGTTATCACGATAATTATTGGAGGAAGTATTGATTTTATCGGTTTCCTTTGAGAGCATGATACAGGCACACATTACACGAGAGTCATTTCATTCGGCTTGTCCAGGTGCTTTATTAATTTATCAAAGTTCAGACAATTGGTTGATATTTTTAATGGGTCTAACGTGAGGAAAAACAATTCTGGTTTTGTCTGCAGTGGGTGTCCGAGGGATCGCCAACTCACAGCAGCACACCAGTTAGGATCGACAGTGCACTACAGTTTGTACCGAAGAATACCAATCCCAGGGAGTTCAAAACACTCCAGCAACAGATCAAGGACAATCGGAGGGCGGATAAAATATCAGCAGGACCACAGTCACATATTCTTGAGGGGGTTTCGTGGGAGGAAGCTAAGAAAATGCAGGTATGCATCATTGCGTATTGCATTGTTACATTGTTGACTTAATATATTTTTCATATCCATATTTTCACACCACTCATTCCAATTTCGAGGCAAAAAAATTCAATCCTCAATTATTTCTGCTAATATGAATTCATTTTTGGTAAACTTCTTTGAACATTCCAACAATTTCATTATTGAACTGAGTGGAACTACTCGTGCAATTTTTTTAATAAGAATTGAATTCAAGTTTAAAATTTGGATTTTTATTCTGAAAGATTATTTTACATCTTCTCTCAAAAATTCAATTGTTGAGTGCAGCCAGTCAATCTTGTGATATGAAAAGAAATTTTTTCGTGAAACCCCTGACTGTTGAAACAACGATATCAATAAAGGAGAAATCCATTCTAAATCTGTATTGTTAATTGTCGAAGGATGCCTCAATCAGTGCAACTGGCGAATCAGTGGTGCTCGTGGGAGCTGCGAGTAAAGGAATAATTCAGCGTGGATTCCAACACAATGCAATGGTGTACAAAACCCCCTATGCCAAAAATCCATTCGATGCTGTAACGGACCAGGAGCTTGATCAATACAAAAAAGAAGTTGCTCGTAAGACAAAGGGTGATCCCTACGATGAATCACAGTCTGAGTCTGAGGCCCTCTCGTCGTTCAATATTAGCCGGGCGACACACGAATCCAGCACTGCCAAAAGCCCCATTCAGTCGCCAGTTTCAGTTACATCTGAAACGGAAGAGGAAAGCAGAGATGGTAATAATAATTCTTCAATCCTATCAATCCTAAACAATAAACCCCCTTAACATCAAGTCATCAATTCACATATAAAAAATTCATAATTGATTATTTTAATATTCAATTGGTAAAAACGAACATTTCAGTCATATTAAATCAATATTCTTTTACATTAATAACTTTCTAATATACACAATCAATGAATTAGTCAGCGAATTGCAATAAATGAATTCGTGTTGCGAATTCAAGGATATTGTGCCATCTTAAACAAATTATATTGTCTTTGCATTTTATCATTATTTAATAACGCCCAAAATGTCATGATTATTCAGCAATTTTCCTGTGTTTTTTTAAAACTTTTAAAAAACTATAAAACGTTGTGAGTTATTAAATAACAATAAAATAAAAAAAAACTGTATATTTTGATTAAAAGAGGGCAAAATATCCTTAATCAAAATTTTTACTTGTTTCAAATAAATATTTTTTTTGGGTGTACCTCTCATTTTTTCTGAAAACTGTCTGCACATATTTTAAAAGCCCTAATAATCCATGATTTTCAAACAGAACCACGTGTACTGCGGATAGAAAAGAAAAAAGTGCCTGCGCCAAGTCAACCAGAAGTTGTCCTGAGTGACGGTAAGACTCCATAATTCTTCACCCAACCTACTCAAACCTTTTTATTCTTTTATCCAATTTTTTATCCACCAAAGCACTTCACAAATATTATTTTACCCCAGATATCAATGAATATTGTCTAATTGCATGAGTATTTCGTACATTGCATGAAATAGGAGAGACGCATGAGCATGACAAGGTGGACGATGCAAATAGGACAGTAGCTAGGGTGACGGAGTCTCCCCAGGTTCATCAAAAGGGGATTATTGACTTTCCGATGCGAAATATCGAAGGTGAGACGCTGAAGGAAATGTTTTCACTCCTAGAAACGCTGATGCTCCCTCAATTATTTTTTTCTCAAATAGTCATTCCCCATATCATTTGAAAGACAAAATAGTGATATTTGCATGAAATATCGTTTTGTTCATTAATAGTTGATGCAACAACCCAATTCCTCAATGAGATGCGTCGCAGCGCCATTGAACCGAGGAACGAGTCTAACAGAAGAGGTAAGTGGGGTAGCTCTGTTCAGTGGGGTTGCGCCCCAGCTTCTGTCGTACATGTTTCACCTTGTGCATGCACGTTATCCTCAAGCCTTTATTTTTTTTATTTCATGCATCATTCCTTAAAAAAACATACGTTATCACAAAACGCTCGCACCAACCTAGGTGCATCCTAATTCTAATGACGCTTCTTAATCACTGATTTAATCCTTTCGTTTCACTTGCATTTTGCATTTTGTAAACCTCTAAAAAAGAATTACCGCTGATTAGTCAAGGTATTTTTCAAGGGTTTCAATGGAAAATTTCGATTGCAATCAACTTCTTAGGAGGAGTTGCAAAACTACTAGCACCAAATATTTTATTTTACTCTTAATAAGTTAGAAAATAACTGAGGGTAAGTGTTTTGGGGGATTTTACATTTTTAGGAATTTTTAGAAGTGTCATGAGTTTTTTACATTCGAAAGTCAAAAAAAAAGATTTCTGATGGGGCAATATGTGCACTCATTAAAAACTGTTCATTTGGTAATTATTGGATTGATAAACTAGCGATTAGGATTATCCAAAAGAATTTTTAAAACTCTTTTCATCCCACTAGTATTTTCTCGAATTTTCTCCAATAGTTTTGAGAAGTAATCCTTTTTTAGAGTGTACATGGTGTTAGTGTTTGGAGTTCATTCAGTACAAGTTTCCTGCTGAACTTCTCCTCCAAACATCTCATAAACAATTGCAGATATTCCACAAAATCTAATCCAATAATTTTAACGATAAACTGATGAAAATAAAAAAACACCAGAAACATTTGTCGAGGGTGCGAGCGGTTCGTGAGGGCGACAGAGCCATCGAAGTTAAAAACAATTGGAAAAATAAATTTGAAAGGATAGCAAAACAACTCAGGCATTGCAGGTGTGTCGACGATATCCTTTTCCAGATTATTTATCGAGCACCAGTGACGAGGAGGCAGCAACACTCTGGGCACCCCTGTACCAATCCAGCCAAATCCATCTCGTCAGATTAGGGACAGTTGCCGAGCGTCAAAAGCCCCAAATCAACTTCATTAACATTCCCAAAAGCGCCCCGATTGTAAAGAATTCGTCGGTAATTCCGAAATTCAAGGTCAAGCCCTGCATCAAAGATCGTTGTAAATTTTTCGATGAGTACGACAGGCGTTACAAAGAGTACAAGACCCTGAGTAGTGAGAATTTCATTCGTTTCACAAGTAAAAGTCTGCAGGAGAGAATCCACAATCTCTCTCCGACCTCAGCCCCTGAATTGAGCTTCCCAGAAGTTCCTAATGCCCTTCCCCAGAGTCGGGGTGTCGTCAGAAAAATTGCAAATCAATTCTCTCTAACCGAGACGACCAACGTCCCGGAAGATTATCCCCCCAATAGAAAGCGGTCCCATCCTCAGAATCCCATGGAGATGAGCCCCTGCGGGAACTCTGTCCCCAAAGTCCCCCGACTTTCATTCGCTCTAATTGTCAACCTGGAGGCACTGGAGAGTCCCACTGTCGTCAACAACATCGTCAAGGGCAGAGCCTTCAGAGGCTCAAAAAGCGAGGGCAACACACCCTCCTCAGAGCTCCCTTTCCACATCGATGTCCTTCCCACTGAATCGACCCCTCCCCGGAGATTCGACATCATCTCCGAGGATTTGCGGGTTTCCAGCTCCTCAGAGCCCACAAACTCCTCCATAGTCACGGTAACCGAAAGAATTCCCCCGACAGAAATCGACCTCCAGGTCACACCTAGGGATGATAATGGTAATGATTCAGAACTCCTCGATCTCTTTCAAACAAATCAGGAACGTGAGAGCGAGAACGAGTCTCGTTCTGGGGATGAGAATGGAAATAACTCAGATCTCCTCACTCCCTCTCGAATAAAATCCGAGGAGTCGAGCGATCTCAACCTCTCCGACGAGAATGGCAACTGCTTGAAGGAGAACACACCACCAAAAACTCTGGATAATCCCATTAAAGTCGACGACGACTGGATAAGCGAGTCAGTGGATGATCTGAAGCTCTCGTTCGATAAAGACATGAGTGACGACTGCCCCTGGAGATTCTCTTCGCCCCTCCCGAGACTGTTCAGCCGAGAGGACAGCATGACAGAAGTGATAAACACGTTGAACGTGAATCTGACCCCCTCGAAGCTATCGGCATCCTTCAACTATCTCCCACCCACCCACAGTTCGAAGACCTGGAACCTGGACCCGAGTCAATTCAGTGTTATATACAGTCTAACCCCGACAGCTGACGTCGACGAGGATCCCGTTGATGAGCACTTCAACTGCGGTCAGAACTGCGAGAAGTGTCTGTTCCCAGGATACTCCAAGGAGGGATCATTCAACGAGAGTTTCGAGGGTAAAAATGACCAGTCCGAGGTCCCAGGAGAGTGCGAGCAATTCATATGGGATGACATGCTGGAAATTAACATGGAAGACATTCCCCAGGTCCCAGAAAATCTCTGCGTCGATCTTAATCAGACAATCGATCTCTTCGACAACTCCATCGATATGGAGACAGAGCAGAATCGCTCTGTTGACTCAACAGATCAAGATCCCTGTGAACACGAGCAGTCGGTGGGTGGCTCTGACCTCCTGGAGCTTCCGCACTCGACCTTCATCGAGCTTGAGAAATCCCGGGATCAGGTGTTCCACGAGGACATTGCCACGTCCGCAAATGAGGTAATTGCAGGTCTCGGTGAACGAGAAGCCCTCGTTAACGCCGAAATGATCGTTGACGACGTCATCTCTGACGTTACTCGTCTCGACATCAACGAGTTCTCCACAGACCTCAGGACCATCCTGGAGGTTAAGCTCACAGCTCTCAAGGTCGCTAAACACATAATCGACGAGGTGATGGATGAGATGGGACTGGAGATAAAGCAGGAGCTGCGGGAGGAACCGCAGATACGAGAGATCGAGAGAATCGTGGAGGAGACTATTGAGGAGAATACTAACGGCAAGGAGCCAAGATTCATCGTCGTCGACGAGCTGATCCACCACATCATCGACAGGATCTCTAGTGGTACGCCAAGCCCCTCAGGCTCCTCCCCAGAGAGTTATGACCTGAAGAAGACCAAGGAAACAACAAATACGGAGATAAAGGAGTTCTCGACGTCCATCAACGAGGAACAAACGCCATCGGTGACTCCTGACCTTCTCAAACCGACGGTGGCACTCCCAACTCCCAGCTCCCAGATCGCCAGGAGATCGCGAGATCTCTTCAAGAGCTCGGAAAATCTCATAAACGAGATCAAATCTATTTTCAGTGAAATAGACATCGATGTGGAGAACGAGGTGTCAATGAGAGCAGAGCTGGAGCAAATCGTTGCTTCTTGCTGCGTCAACGAGAACGGGGAGATATTTTCCAACGACATGGAGGCATTCGAGCACTACGCCAATCAGATGCACCTCATCGCCAAGGCTATTGTCTTCGAGGAGTCCTTAAACAAGAGTAAATCCGACACTCTGAACTCCAGTTCCTCGACGGAGGGCTGTCTCTACGCGAATAAATCGGAGAGTGTCAGAAAATTTGTGGCCAAATTCAAGGAGATTACGAAGGGGAGAAAATCCCTGGAGCCGGGTTGCAATAGGTCTGATGTGTCTGATAGCTCGGGAGTAGAGAGAAGTGGTGAGGAACAGGTCTCTTTGGATGTGAATGTCTCCGTCGAGAATACGATAAACGTCAGCAGTCAGTCCGATCAGTCGTCACCAGAGAATGACACGAAATCTGATAACAGTGGGGAGAAAATGAAATTGGTGAAGAAGATGACATTGCCAGACCTCAGTAAAGTCACCGATGACGAATCAGCTCACACTTCGGATGATCAGCTTCTGAGTAAGGACCTTGAGAATAAAATATTGTACATGTGGGATCTAAATGAGTCTGAGAGTGAGAGGAGCTTCAATGAAATTCGTGGGAAGGACGCCAGCTCTTTCTTCGAGTTGGAGGAGATCGATGATCCTCAGGAGAATAATCAGGAGAATAATCACAAGGAGAAGGTGCTGAGTGTTCCTGGGTCCCCGAAGGCATTTAAATTTGAGCTGCTAACTATTCCCGAGGACGAGGAACTCACAACCGGGAGAATTGAGAGAGAAGCGAAAAAACAGAGTCAGTTACCAATTCCGGCGGCCGAGGGGGTGAAGGAATTGCGAGACGATGAAAAGGATTGGAGCCCACAGGACAGCCCTGATCAATCCTCGATTTTAACTTCAATTCCTGAGATCAGTGACTCTCTAGAAGAGGAGAATGTGATTGAGAGTGATAATAAACTCGAGGCAGTGTCTGTTAATTACTCAGAGATAGTGGTGACCCCTCCTGAGACCACCGAGGACGTCTCTGAGATCTCAGGGCCTTCCTCGAAGACTGATTTCCTTTCCTGCACTGGGGGCAACTCCACACCCTTCGAAACAGGCCAGAACAGCGCTGACACTAGCCTCTGCTTGAAGATGTCCTCTGAGGAACTGGATAGAGGGGTGGAGACTGGTTCAGGTCCCGTCAACAGTGACCACGACAGTTACATCGTCTCTGAGTGCAATTCCGATGACTGCAGAGAGACTGTCTACCACGGAGACATCTCCTCGAACATGCGAAGGTCTGATTCATTTTCCACAGTTAATCACCTGAATGAAACGTCAATGAACCTGGCGGATGTGTCTTCAGCATTGGAGGAGCTGGAATTCTTGGACACAAATGGAATTGAGAGTGAGGACGAGAAGGAATTCCTAGTGAAATGCCCCATCTGCGATAATGTTCCCACGAGTGAGAGATCAGGGAGAGATTCTAAACTTTTCATTCCCCAGTGCAGTTACTGTTTATCACACTACGAGGAAAAGGATCCATTGCAGCAATCAACTGATAAATCCCTTCCCAAGGTAAAGAATTGCAGCGTTTGTCGGAAGCGGCCTGTGTACGGATCCTCAGCCATTGATGATGAAGGAGTCATCCTCGAAGATACTGATACCGTCGTGAAAAACCTCCAAGGAGCTCCCAATCATGACCTAGCGGACGAGGAAGTTGAAAGATCCGATGTCTGCCTCAAGTGCCTTATGGTGCTCTCTGTGGACACCAGGGAGTTCATCAAGATCGAGAGAATGGTCTCCAGTGAAGAACTCAGTTGTGCCGTCGTCGTGTCTCCTGCCCCTCCTGTCCCTGACTACCAGGACACTAGTCTCTGTAAAGTTGTCTCCACCATGAATCTGACAAACGCCTCCACCAATGATCGTCCACCTTTTGACGAGCCCCTCTGCTCCGGCAGAGATCCCCTCGTGTAGTTTCGGGGTGAAATGTATTTTACCTTTAGAAATATTCGCGTTTTAAATTGCCATTTAAAAACGCTGAGAATCAATAATTTTTGATAACGTACTTCATTCAATTTTACGTTTTAAACGCAGAATCTCACGTTTTCATATGCGGGACAATGAAAATACTTTAGCTTTGTGCATTCGCATTCTGCTTACTCATACGAATAATCGTGAATTATCTAATTATTATTATCACGATTAACTGGTTATTAATTGTAAGGACATTTTTACGGTTTCTCATTGTTAAATAGCTTCGGATTAACTTGCAATCGTACTAATGGGATATGAGTTATTAATTCCATGAAATAATTATTATCACAGCCTGTGTCATATTGTAAAAAATGTAATGGTAATCTCTACTCATTGCATTCACCTTCTGCTCATTCACTGAGAATATTTCTTTTTCTTTTGTTTTCACTTTTTTACTTTTTTTGGCTTTCCCCGCATTTATTTTTTTTTCTCTTTATTTCGATGAACTCCGAATGGAAATTACCATTATGTTTTCTCATAATCCTCGTTGGGAGATCTAAGTGTACATTACTCATGGCTTTTGTTGTGTAATCATAAGAGAAATGTTATTATGAATTGTTAGAGGGAGAGGGGCACCTAGTGGAGAATTTTATCCAAGGGATCAATCTAGAAGAAGCCCTCTCTGTCATGATTACTTTATTATTAAATATTAGCACACCTGTTTATTATTTTTTTTTATCACTGCACCAAAAAATTGGAAGTGAAGGAATAAATTAACCCCAGGCCTTTCATTCCAAGAGGTGGTTTTTGGTTTTCTTTATTTGCATCCTCTCGCAACTGCATTGTCACGCACGTTATCACGGGTACAATGAATATATTGATCAAGCTAACATTTTTTTACACTGAGGTAAGGGATTTTATGAATATTTCTCACAACATAACATTCCTATTTTCATTTTTTTTTCTATTTATTTATTTTTCTTTTTTACCTTAAGAAGTATCGAGTGGCGTCTTTTTTTTACGTTTATCGAGGAGTTGAAAATATTCTACAATTTGTGGTGTGTTCCAGGGGAGAATACCGTGAATGGAGACCACTCTGATGCACATCACAGCACCTTCTCCCACAGCAGCAAAGAGGTTCGTCGGATTTTTTTTTCTCTAACTCTCCTGTTTTTATCTTCAATTTTAGTGCGGAGAATAATTCGCGGTTTTTTCACATTTTCATGGTATTATTGTACTAATTACATGGCACATTTTCCACTCATCTGGTCCTCAGAAGCTCTAGATGTCATTCATTAATTCATCAGTGATTAAGGGGGGAGTGGATTTTTCCATGATTTCTGTCTTCATTCTTCATGGTTTTTTATTAACTGTTAATTACACGTGTAGCCATTTTTGAGGGTCCAGATTGTGGGGTTTGACGAGAGGATCCATTAGGGGATATCGTGTCATGTCTTGGAGGATTCTCATCAATCACGTTCATCATTCACGTATTATTTACATAATTCATTATTAATATCATTAGGATGTATCGTTGATTTTGAAAATTTTAATTGGTTGGAATGAGCAGTTGTCATTTATCATTCATACGGTTTATTCTTTGAAATTCATCTCCATTGCTAGAGATTATTTGGGGTACTAATTATAGGTGAATAGTATTTAATGCTGGCGAACGGCTCTGCTTGCATGGAATACGAATTTATCAATTTTTCGGGGAGAGATATCGAGTGGTTGGAGATGGAATTTCATCTGCATGTGCATGTGGTTTTTTTATGTTTATTTGTTGGGACCTTCCATGTTAAGGGTTCCATGTCGCAGGATGTCAGCGTTAGCGAGGAGTCACCCAAGAAGGAGAAGAAGAAGAAGAAGGGGCTCAGGACACCCTCTTTCCTCAAGAAGAAGAAGGAGAAGAAGAAGCCTGTCGAGGCGTAGGTAGTTCTAACTCGGGTACGTATTCATCATTTTAATTCATTCACTGATTGCTAGTGTAATTACTAGTTGTCAATTAAAATCGATAATTCTGGAAAATATCAAATGCGCGCTAAACTCTAGAGAAGATGGGGTGAAACGGAATATTCTTAAATCATCAATATCTCCGGACACAACGATGCTATTCCTACGAGTTGAAACTCATTTTAAAGTTTACAATAAAATCTTCAAAATGAATGTAAAATCGTTGAGTTCCGGTCGCTAGAACTTGAGTTATCGATGATAAAAGGACAGTCAGTTCCATTTCCCTCTTCTAGAGTATTAGAATAGTTAAAAAGCCATTGCAATTATTTTTGCATTAGACTATTTTTAGGTGCTCAAATAGAAGAACTCATTCATTTCTCATGGATTTCATAAAAACTAAAATGTAAATGAGAGAACAAGTGTCTAATTATTTTGAGACTCAGAGAATAAAATCTCCAACTGTCATTTACTTTTTTAATGTTTTACTCATTATTTTTACAGACACTGCCACAGAAAATATTTTACCAGAAATAAAGGAAACAAAAAAACAAAGCTAGAATGCAAGATCGAAGTGCAAAACGAGCAGAGAATATACACCCGAAATTTAATAACGAAATTACGAAGAGAAGTCATCGCCTGAAGCAGCCGACGAGCAAAAATCCCATCATATTTTCCAGAACTCAAGACTGCCATCACGTTTACGAAAATAACGAAGACTATATTCTATTGTTAATGTTTTTACGTTTTTAATTTGTTAAGCATCCCATGATGTGAAGACAAGAGACAAATGAAAAAATATGGGGGGGACAAGTCCTCGACCGAAACCTTTTCGAGGTGAAATAATCAATTGTAATGACGATGTGCGTGAGGGAAGCAGTGAAATTAATTACCGAAAATCATGTTGCACGTAAAAGTTATACCTAATTGAGTTTTTAAGTTAATTAAAGTGTTTTAATTATCTTATTATTTGTCTTTTAATATCTTTTTAATTCGGATTATTTTATGAGAGGGTAGGACGAGGGGATGAGACTATTTATTCATTTCCTGATTCAATCGTGATTAACTGACGAAATTCCTATTCCTATCTTTGTAAGAGCAATGAAACTTAATTAACTTCTCCCCTCGTGCTTATCAATCACTGAAAATCATCTTAATGAATGTTTTGAATCGACGAATGGGACTGGGAAAGGCTCGGCGAAAGCATCGGCATGACAATGAAAAAAAAAAAAGGAATCGATTATTGAGAAATTATCGAAAAATCAGGCATATCGTTATCAACGATTTGCTGAGATTTTTCCCTCGGTACAGAGCGCTGGGTAAAAAACTTCAACGATTGTAATTGAACGATTCTCCGTGTCAATTTATGAGATTGACACTAAAAATTATGGAAAGGGCATAAATGATAAAGCATCATCGCGAAAGATCATTTCAGGCTTTTGAGCTGGTACAAATAATTAGATATGATGATAATGAAAATGTGGGGGTACAGGCGATTTTATTCGTACAATTCATCGAAATTACACAACTGGAACAATTAGACGATTGATCAATCTTTCTGATACTCAATAATTCATCGTGGAAGAATGTTAATGGAATTTGAAATTTGCAAATCGCCATGGGAATGAAAATGGGTTTATTCGTCCTCATCTATTCCTTCGCGCAATGGCCTAGCTTTCTTGCACGCGCGCTTTGCATCGAAACGTTTTAAGGAGAATTTAATGGACAAATTGAAGTAGATGGCCGTCGCGGTTCTGTTGGAGAAACAACTGTGTGTGTTGCTTTTTCAATTCTGTGATTAATTCTGTAGTGAAATGGTAAAAGAAGAAAAATCCATTTAACACTTTGGTGAGTTATTCGGAAATATCTTCGCTACTACGAGAAATAGTGAAATTTTCGTAATTTCCTTTTTTGTAGCTCTAAAATAGATCTGCAAAAAACATTCTGATATAAATAGTGCTACCTGCCGCAGTTCCAAAGATATTCCCGAAAAACTTCTTGATATGCTAAATTAATTCCTCGGCTTCTACCCCTTTACTATTAAATTGAAATTAAATTTAATGGAGAATTCGTTATTGGAGATCTTCCAGGATGAACTAATCTTCGTTTAGTCACAGAATTTTTATTTGAATCTTTTTTTTGTTATCTTTCGTGTTGTGGTCGCTTGTGAAGCGATGTGTTCACGAGAGGTTGAATTGCAGCGTTTTATGGTGCCGAATACGTGAGAATGAGAGTAAAAATGTCCTCAGATTCCTTAATTAATCATTTTTTAACAAATATTTGGTCCATGTTGATGCGCAGTCTTTGATAAAGGGATTTGTCGGTCCAGCGGAGTAATGAATTAATAAAAAAAATTGTCTCCTGCCCCTTTGGATCGATCTAATCGCAATGAGGATGAACTCTGCTTCATCGAGAGATGATTCTTAAAATGCACGTGCGAACATATTATTTTTTACTCTATCCCATATAATTTTAAATCCCGAAAATAATTGGGAAAAGAAAATACTGTGTGATGTGACTCACGAGAAAGTGCGAGCATTAATTACCTTTTTTAAATTAATTTCCTTTTTCTTTGTACAAAGTATGGAAAAAATAAAAGAGAAGAATGTGTTTGTCATTATTTTATCGCAACTTTCTTGTTAGGATTTAATTGAATAATGGAATAAAATGAATTATGGAAAATAAAGGATATTGTGAGCTAGATTCTTTCTTGTTGCACGCTTGTCTATGAGAACATTTATATGAGATGAGAAAAATTGAGGTGTATCTGGTGACTTGAGAGGAGAAAAATAATGGATAATTGTATTATTGAGATGAAAGAATCGTCGTGACGATTGCAATTCTATTATTGTAATAGTTAATATATACCTATATACATATTATAACAATATTATTAAATATACAAGGAGTAATTTTAGCCATGATTTTCAAGTTTCAATCACATTTCACCATCGATTCGGATTACTGAATGTACCTTTTTGGGAAATTATCATTCTTTTCAATATTCGTCCACTGGGAGGAGAGTTCCTTCATTTTTACAAAATATCTATAAGGAAAATTATTGAATGCACCTGTATATATCTTGGAAATCGATCGCAATATCATCGTGAATGAGATGATTGAGTGAATTTTTTAGTTTTCGCAGTTAATGGCACAAATTCAGGCCTACAGGTGGCCATTTTTGATTAATTATCATTTGACGCGGACGTGAGAAGCGAAAAGGTAAAAGGTAACAAGTCGATTTAACTAATGGGTAAGTTTTCCAGGAATATTTCTGAATCTAAAAGAAATACGCAATTTTCGAAGTGACTTTTTTTATAGCTCTTATTCCACTCTATAAAAGTGGTGTTAAGCAAAATTTTGCGATCTTCATTGGATTGAAAGATATTCTACGAAAATAAACAAATCGGCGTTTAGTTCGTTGTTATCATTCACCTCTTCGCAATTAAGAAATTGCGTTGATCGTTCGATGAATCATAATGAAGTGTTCAGATTTGCTTATAGTCAACTTGAGCAATTGATTGTTACTGTCATCCACGAAAATAAATTCTAAAAAATAATAAACAATTTGAATTCAACCACTCCATGACTAATTAAAAACCAAAAATTAGTTTTCGCCTTTTGAAAGCTGATGTAAATAATCTGAGTTCATGCGGTTACCCGTATTTCTATTCAGTTCCGAAATAGTTAAAAAAAATATTCATTTTTAAGTAAGACTATATTTTTCCTGTTCTCCAAGAAAAATATTTTTGGAATGAATTGAAATATTAATACCTTTGTTGTAATGTTTTTTCTAGTTCTTTGAGAGCTGCGAAAAAGATTTCTACAAAAAATACGTGATCGCCTTTGTTTCCGAATATTACATTTAAAACCCCACCCCAACGTCCTCGACCTCGCAAAAAGGGTAAATAACAAAAAAAACAATTCTCATTTCAAAATCATGTATTTTTCATCGAGACTGGAGCATAGTTTCCTTGAAATTTCCGAATGACAGGAATGTTGAAATAAATACAAAGTGCTGAACCAAAACGAATAAATCTCGATGTAGTTGAAGAATAGTGGAGATGCCTTAGTACTCCTCGGCGCCCTCGCCCTCTCCCTCAGCGGAGTCCATGCCGACCTCCTCGTAGTCCTTCTCGAGGGCAGCGAGATCCTCACGAGCCTCAGAGAACTCTCCCTCCTCCATGCCCTCACCCACATACCAGTGAACAAAAGCACGCTTGGCGTACATGAGATCGAACTTATGATCAAGACGAGCCCAAGCTTCAGCAATAGCTGTGGTATTGGAGAGCATGCATACAGCACGCTGGACCTTGGCGAGATCACCCCCAGGGACAACAGTGGGTGGCTGATAGTTGATGCCAACCTTGAAGCCAGTGGGACACCAATCAACAAATTGAATGGTTCGTTTGGTCTTAATCGTGGCGATTGCAGCATTCACGTCCTTGGGAACAACGTCACCCCTGTAGAGCATGCAACATGCCATGTACTTGCCATGACGAGGATCACACTTGACCATCTGATTAGCTGGCTCAAAGCAGGCATTGGTAATCTCTGCCACTGACAATTGCTCGTGATATGCCTTCTCAGCTGATATCACTGGGGCATAAGTCACCAGAGGGAAATGGATTCTTGGATAGGGCACCAAATTTGTCTGGAATTCAGTGAGATCCACGTTGAGGGCTCCATCGAAACGAAGTGATGCAGTGATTGATGAGACAATCTGTCCAATCAGTCTGTTAAGATTCGTGTAGGTGGGACGCTCGATATCGAGATTTCTTCGGCAGATGTCGTAAATCGCCTCATTGTCCACCATGAAGGCACAGTCCGAGTGCTCCAGGGTTGTGTGAGTTGTCAGTATTGAGTTGTACGGCTCGACCACTGCTGTCGATACCTGAGGGGCCGGATAGATTGCAAACTCTAATTTTGATTTTTTACCGTAGTCCACGGAGAGACGCTCCATCAGGAGGGATGTAAAGCCTGAGCCAGTCCCACCACCGAATGAGTGGAAGATCAGGAATCCCTGGAGTCCTGTGCATTGGTCTGCCAGTTTGCGAATCCTGTCCAACACCAAGTCAACTATTTCCTTGCCAATTGTGTAGTGGCCACGGGCGTAATTATTCGCTGCGTCCTCCTTGCCAGTGATCAGTTGCTCTGGGTGGAACAGCTGGCGATAGGTTCCAGTACGTACTTCATCGACCACAGTTGGCTCCAAATCAATGAAGACAGCACGCGGTACGTGCTTGCCAGCTCCAGTTTCACTGAAAAAAGTGTTAAAGCTGTCGTCACCACCTCCGATGGTCTTGTCAGATGGCATTTGTCCATCGGGCTGGATACCATGTTCCAGGCAGTACAGCTCCCAGCAAGCATTACCAATTTGGACTCCAGCCTGTCCAACGTGGATTGAGATACATTCACGCTGTAACAGATAAAGAAATTCATAATAATTATTTAAGAGTTATTCAAGCAAATCAGTGGTCATACTCAAAATTGAGAGAAATAATTTCGGTAATTATCGACTTTTTATCGAAAAACTATGAATTCAAACATTTAATCTATTTATCAAACAACTTTTTAGTGGAGAATCCGACTTCTAACTATGATCATCAGTTTCTGAAACAATATTTTAAAAATTCTAAAATTCAATTCAATCGCATTGAAATATTATTCGGATCAAACCGTTAGGAATTATCGATCGCATTATATGAGTCAGTCAGGGTGGAGCCGGCCGGCGGAAACCGTTACAAAATGGCCTCCATTAAACAAAAATGACGCTTAACGAGGCTTCCCAAATCTCCTAAAAATTTCGGCCCCTACGCAATAACCCTTTCAAGAAAAACGCAAAATCAGCTCTCCTAATAATATAATTAAAAACTCTTTCCCGGAGACAAGCAATTAAAATTTCACCGAAATGTGGACTAAACTGACGCGAGAAGCCATTTCCCTGACATGTTTGCAGGAAACAATTCCTCCGAAATTATTTTCACAGATTCGAGAACTCGCGGATTATCAAAAATACTGAGGATTGGGACTCACCATTTTGAAGTTTTTTAAATTTTTTTGATGTACAAAAGAGAGACGTTAAAAGGATTGTCGGCAGAAGTTAGCAATGGCACTTCAGCGAACAATTTCCAACGGCTTTTGTCGTGAGACTACTCCGCCCCAGCGACGTTCAGATCACTTTATACCCTCGGTGAACGGCTACACACCGAGACAGCTGATTGGTTGGCTGTGACCCGTCAAAGGGCCCCCATTGGTTCTCTCTCAACCGCAGGACCGACTTGCACCTTGCGACACTTTACTGCGCACCACAATCCAGTTCCGAATTCAATGTTTAATTGCCGTTTTGATAATTAAATATCGAATTTAATTTTGCTGGATTCAAGAGGCAGAGGGAAGGGAACGCCTGCACATCGCGGGATCGATTTTTCAGCGGTTCGACGAGGAGAGATGGCTAATTGGGGTGTGACTCATCAACGGTGTATTCCATATTTGGGGCAAATGTTTTTCCTCGTTTCACCCGGCAACGGCTTCTCCGTGCCAAGACACGAATTCGATCGGTCCTTATATGAAAATTATGGAAGGATGACGTGATCTGCTGATGCAAAAGGAAATGAAAGGAATTATTCTGTTCAATGGTAACGGATAATCGGTGATCTGGTATAATTGTGGATTTTCAGGGGCTTCATTTCGTTGGGTTCAATAAGGGCCCCTCGAATAATTTTAATGGGCCTTCAGACTTCCTAGAATTACCAGCTGCACATCGCAGAGCCTATGGCCCTTCTCGGGGTATTATTTTCCCTTGAAGTCTGAGGTGAAGCCCTCCATTGACCTTGATAAGAGCTCGGGGTGATACAACAGTCGAAAAACACCGGAAGAACAGCAGCTGGCAAACGATGAGGATATTATCAGACCGTGGGATGATTAATTCATTGGTGATAAGGAGATGTCCAAATAGATCACATCTTTTCTGTTTTAATGTATTCTCATCATCAATTTTTTATTAATTAGTTATCGATTGTTAGAGCCCTTTGGGATAATCGATGAGTAAACGCAAGGAAATATTTTTCTTCATCCAACTGGTTATAAGTTATAATATTTTATTCGTGGATTCAATTACTGGGGCTAAGGTATTAAGGAATCGTCTCAGTTCCTTTATTCTAATACTATAAAATTATTAATTATTATTAAAGGACATATTCTCAATATAATAACTCAATTTTCGAAAGACATCCACGACAATTCCAATAATTCCGCATAACACGAGCAAAACCATGTAAAGCACACGAAAATATTGATCTGCCGTTTGAACGAGGGAAATTTCCAAGAGGAATAGGATAATTAGACGTTTCATGGATTTTTTTATGAACGTAAAACCATAAAAATCCACAGAACCTCAGCAATTATGTTTCTTCAACGAATTGAGACACATGAGGACATCTCTGAGTTACTGTTGAACCCAGAGATCATGTCAGAATTTTCCGAGCGATACATTAAGGTTAGAAGTTCTCAACAACAACAAAAACACGTGTCAAATAATTTTGGTGACAAATACTAGTTTAATAGATTAATTACCAATGGACTCTGAGGAGGAAATGCAGACTGAGGAGCAGAATGAGGAGAAAGTTGTCGCTTTCCACGAATTCGGATTGGATGACAGAATCCTAAAGGTAAATTCGTCATTACCCTTTTAAGGATTCCACACTCATCTCCGACTTTTGCCCATTAAATTCGAGCGGAATAATGGATATGTCCAAAACTATGAGAAAAAATCCAATTTTTGTTGGTCGTTTTTTTTGCAGATCTTAATTATGAAGTTATGAAAAGATTTACGTCAATTTATCTATTTTTATCACGTCACTGCGGAATTAATTTCCCTACTTGCAAAATGAATCGATTGTAATGATTTTCTCCAGGCAATAGCCAAGTTGGGATGGCTGGAACCGACTCCAATCCAAGAAAAGACAATTCCTCTTCTCCTGGAGGGAAAAGACGTATTAATCCGGGCGAGGACAGGTTCAGGCAAGACAGGAGCCTTCGCGATTCCCCTGATCCAAAAGATCCTTTCCACCAAGGCTCAGCAAACGAGACAAGAGACGAAGGCATTGATCCTGGCCCCTAGCAAAGAGCTCTGCAAGCAGATTCACCAGGTCTTCACAGACCTGACGACAAAGTGCTCTCGAGAAGTGACGGTCGTGGAAGTGAGTGGACAAATTGAGTTGTCCGTGCAGAAGCCAATTCTCGCTCATAATCCAGAGATAATTGTGGGCACCCCAGGGAGAGTTCTCCAGCACATCAAAGCGGGGCATATGGATCTGAAGAAGAGTCTGGAGACGTTGATAATCGACGAGGCGGATTTAGTCTTCTCTTTTGGCTACGAGGACGAGCTCAAAAAGGTCCTGGCTCATCTTCCCACTATTTATCAGGCTGCGCTGGCCTCTGCCACCCTCTCGGAGGATGTTCTCACTCTAAAAAAACTTGTCCTGCATAATCCAGCGACTTTGAAGCTCCAGGAAGCGCCTTTGGCACCTCCATCACAATTGGCCCACTATAGTCTTGCTGCTGAGGAGAACGACAAATCTGCCATTCTCTATTCTTTAATTAAACTTCATCTAATCAGGGGGAAGACCATCATCTTCGTTAACACTGTGGACAGATGCTACAAACTCAAACTCTTTCTGGAGCAATTTGGAATTCCAACTTGTGTGTTAAACTCTGAATTACCTGCCTCATCGAGGTGCAGGGCTGTTACTCAGTTTAATTCTGGGACGTACGATATTATTATTGCTTCTGATGAAAAAGCGCTGGACGAGCCTCACGTTGTTAAAGAGAAGAAGGGCAAGAGGAGAAAGGACAAAGAGAGTGGCGTTGCAAGGGGAATTGATTTCCAGTTTGTCTCCAATGTTGTTAATTTTGATTTTCCACTGGATGTTGATTCTTATGTGCACAGAGTAGGAAGGACTGCCAGGGGGAAGAATCAGGGAACTGCTCTCAGTCTTATTTCGATTAGGGAGAGGGAATTGATGGCGAAGGTGGAGGAGTCGCTTAAGAAAAGTTATGGCAGGAGCAGCTTGTTTCAGACTTATCAATTTAAGCTCGAAGAGGTTGAGGGATTCAGGTAGTTTTTTGTTTATTTCTCTAAAATCACAATTATCCGTCAATTAACTATTGCTGTCACATGCATTTTACTTAAGTCACATAAATACTGAAAGTAATTTGATTATGCATTTTTCTGATACGAAACTAGAGGCAGTCTTGATAATGTGGAAAAAGCAATTACCAGCTGGTCTATTCTTCTGATATTTCTTGTTTTTGAATAGATATCGAGCGAAAGATGCTTGGAAAGCAGTAACGAGGATAGCAGTGAGAGAAGCCAGATTAAAAGAGATAAAACAAGAGCTCCTGAACTGTGACAAACTGAAAAGCTACTTCGATGACAATCCCAGGGACTTGCAAACACTCAGACAGGACAAAGCTCTTCACACTGTTAAAATCCAGCCGCACTTGAAGGATGTGCCGGATTACATAGTTCCACCGTCTCTGAAGAGGCTCATGGGTTTCGGGAAGAGAAAACGAAAGTTTAACCGAGATGCAGCGGTCTCAGGAGCCACCGCAACTAAATCTAAGCATCAGGCCAGAGCCTCAAACCCTCTGATGAGTCTCACTGTCCAGAACAAGATGAGGAAATAAAACGAATTAAAGGCACTATGATTTTTTTAATTAATGTAAAATGAATTTAGAGTAAAAAATAGTATTCTCTCATTTTATTTGTCAAGTTAATTGAGAAACATATTTTTCGGTGGACCATTTGGGAAAATGTGGATCAATTCTTCGAGATTTTCTTGGGCTTGAATTTTTGCATGATGCAGTCGTTATGGCCCTCTCTGTTCCTCGCTAACTCTATCGCGTAGAATTGAATCCTGGTGACCAGGGTACTGTTTTTCTCAGAGTATTCGTCAACACAGTTGACTCTCAGGAGAGTTCCCATGTTGTAGTCTTCAACGAGATTTTTGAATTGCTCACAGAATGACCTCCACTTATTCTTTCCCTCTGAGGATTTCATCTCGTTTACGTTGATAATGTCTACTTTTAGGTCGGGGAATGTTTCTCGGAAGGTTTTGTAGATTGCATCGTCGTGGGGCGTCAGCCTGAGGATTTTTGGATCAAGCGAGCATAAAATCTGAAATAATGAGAAATGCATGTAGCAAATTATGAAGACTTTTTTGTAGTTCTTATTCCAGTCTGAAAAAAAGGAATCACAACAAATTGGCTGTTTTTGCAAGGTGCGGAGATATTCACCGAAAATGTGAACAGGGAGAAAATTGAATTGTGATTTTTTGTGATTATTGGTTTTTCAATTTATGTAGGAGTTGCTGATGTACGATTTACTGATTTTACTTACATTAAAATAAATTTCTGCATGTTCGAAGGCTTTCATCGCCCACATGGCTTCGATCGAGCTCTGTAATCAAGCATCTCTATATTAAAACATTAGAAAAATCCAATTAGTGATGACCTATTAAGGTAGTTGATTTCTTCCAATTGATACGTACGTCATTGCCGAATTCTTCAGCAGGTCTCGATAAAACGCTGGCACCTGCTAGCAACTGATCAGCTGTCTAAGTACAACACTTAATAATTAATCTATATAATGGAAAATAAATATATTCTTTCCAGACAGTTTACGTTGGAAAGAACTCAAAAGTCTTCATTCCGTTTTGACAAAAACATCATTCCCTTTTTATAAAAAAATAATTCCCTTTTGATGAAAACATCATTCCCTTTCCTAAAAAAATCATTCCCTTTTTATAAAAATATCATTCCCTTTTGATGAAAAGCAAAGAGAAATTATACGGTACGTTTGAGGGATAACCTTAAAGGATTGAAAAATGAGGAAAATTTTGTCGTAAACTTCGGGAAATTGGATAGGATTGCATACCACATTTCCAATATTCTCCATTGGTGGTTATCGCTACTGATATCTCAATATTCAATTAAAAATCGCAAGTTCGGATGAATTGACACACGTGAATTCACGAGACAGTTATGAACAGTCGTGTATCTTCACCGAAAGCGTGGAAAACTTTCGTTGTAGGGTTTCGAAACATTTCCCCCACTAGCGCCGCCCCGGCCGGGACGTTGATGCACTTCTCCATGTCAATTCTCATGGAACTGCTCGTGTGGATTCACCCTGATGAATAAATGCACAGTGCCCCATGGGCATTGCGGCATGACACTTGTGGTGGGCGCCATGACAGTGCTCTGCTTTTTTTAATAGGAAACATTTCCATGCTCCCCTGACACTTTTTTCCAAAAATTTTGAATTTTCGCATTTCC